CAATTTGGCAAATGGGGAAACTAGAGCAGATGCTGACTCTTCGACCTGAAATGAAGCAAGAGGCGGTGTGAATTTTTCCATATAGTAATAATAAAGAAGCTGAAACGGAGCGATGATAATGAAGGAGCAAAGTAGGAGTGCAAGTACCGTAATCGATGCGCCTTGTCCTCCCATATCTGTCTGCACCCATCCAGGACAGAAGCTGACAATGAGAATGTGCTCAGGTTCGAGATCAATAGACATAGTCTTCATGAGGGAATTGAGGGCAGACTGCAATTGAATTTGTTACGAAATAAATTTTTACAGCAGCAACCACTAACAAAAATTCAAATACCAACCTTACTCATACGGTAGGCCAATGCGCCAAACTTTCCTGACCCTGACGTGTTTGTGCTAATGGAACCAACTCCTGATGAGATGTTAAGGATTGCAGCACGGTTCGCGGAGAACTCATCCGAGGACACCTGAGCGGCCGCCTTACGCACGAGAGGCAGGAAGGTCTGAATCGTGAAAATTATTGATTAAAACGATTGTGTTGGTCTATGTAGGCTCTCATCTTCGCTGAAGACACAAAAACAATCGATTACCCACAGGGTATGAAGGCAAACTAGATTTTTATTCTATCCGGGGTGAGAGGAGTTTAAAATGCGTCAAGGGTGCCATGCAGGGCAACCATGGCGTTGGTACTTATTCAAACATTCAACGACCCCTCCCCTTCAGAGGCCTTAATGTGAACCCCCCCCCTGGAGGATCTGTGTAATGTTAACCTTTAGACCCTCAACAAGCTTATTTGTGGCATAATACCTCATTTTCTGGGCGGAAGCGGTGGGGGCGGAAGTGGTGTAGTGGCAAGTGGCACGCTTACCACGCGAGCGGTCCGGGGATCAAATCCTGGGTCGTGAGTCGCCCGGGCCAACCAAGCCTTCCATCCCTCCGGGGTCGGTTAATTGGTACCAGACTTGTCTGGGAGGATAAAAAACACTGCTGGCCCCCGCAAGTCATTGTATAGGCCACATCGCATTCAAACGCCACTACGAATGTACAAATGGAAGTAGAATGCGTGCCGCATCCCAAAAAGGGATTGATCAACGGCAAATGCTTTATCCTTTTATCCTTTACCTCATTTTCTCGAACGTACTCCTAGACCACAGGGAAGGACGGGAGCCACAACTTCCTTCAAATACGAGGATATTGCGGCGAGGTGAAGCTCAAGAAAACGATGATTATTCTTTCTTCAAAAATTGGTTACTTGATCTCCAAACTTAATTGTTAAAAAAGTTGTTTTTTTTTGTGCACATGCGAGTTGTAAGGGTTCAAACGACCACAACTTCCTCTAAATTCATCATTTTGAAGAACTAAAGGGAGCATGCCCATCTTCAAGGATCAGGTTCTGAATAGTACTGAAACTTCATCAAAAAGTGAAAGGTTCCAATAATAGCTTAGCTGGACATTCTCAGGACGTTGTAGGTGACCCTTTTTTGAAGTCAAGTTTTCACCCTTTAAACAATCACAACTTTCTCAAATTCATTATTTTGAAAAACTGTCGTAGGATGCTAAAATGTTCAAGCTTTCCAAAATGTCCGAGAGCTCAGTAGAAAATTCACCGATTTGCAAATTAGTCCCGACGGGATTTTTCTTGATAGGGGACTTTCCAAGCCATTTTTTTCCAAGCCCAAAAACTCGCTTTTGCACGAAAAATGTTCGAACGGGACAATTTTTTGAAAAAGGGGACAATCACTAAACTTTTTATACTGTTTTGTTAGAGAAATATTTGAAGTTTCTGAAACTTTTTACAGATTTCCAAAATGTCGCATACGAAAGATTTTATGGGCCTTCAAAGTTGAAGGTGCGCCTTCTTAGAATTTTGGGTTTTCCACTTCTAACAGAAGTACTTTCCGGAGAGTTAGGCAATCCTTGTAGTTTTCTGAAAGCGCACCTCAGGCACAATCAAATCTACCTCAACAAGTCAAAAAAATACGTCCCAAGAAAGTTATTCCCCTCTAAAATTTTTTCTTCGCCGCGTCCCGTTCTTCCAGCGCCCGGGTGATACCTGCCGCGCTCCAAGGCTGACGCCGCAATGCAGACGCTGTTCTGCGGCGGCACAGACGCTTTCTGGCGCAACGGATTCATGTCTAGCACTTATTAACAAAAACAGGGGGTCGCAACTGGACCCCCTCGAGAGCTAGGGGGTCGCAAAAATCCCGAAAATGTTCGAACGTGACGGTTGACCCTGGGCGGAGGAGATTTTTGTTCTATTCTGAGCACAACTGAGGAGGACGCGTGAAAGGTTTGGTCCGCCTATGGATTGATTGTTAGGTAGTTCAGAACATTTTTGCGGATCCGGACTTCTCAATTTGAGGGGCCTCACTGCGATCAGTGCCAAGCAAAGTGCTGTAATTCTATTATGTAACGTTTCAAAGCGCTGATTCTCACTCTATCTAAAAGTATTGTCATTCATATGCCAGAAGACCTTTGCCCACTTTCTCAGAATCAACTTACTCAGAAAGCCGGTTTGGAGGGTTTTCTTGTTTCAAGTAAAATTGATCCGGAAAGATGAGAAAAAACGCCATCAAGTACGCGTTTAATTCAGGCAGGTTAGAATAAAGGTATTGTAAAGTGGTAATTTATAAGTTTTCGTGGCGATAACTAGGACCTCGATGATGATAGGATGGTGTTAAGCCTGGCTTAGTGGTTTCAAAAATACGGGAGAAGGAAAATACAAAAAAGTCATAAAGCGCCGCCATGACAGATTGCCTTATTGAACTTCTGCCCTTCTTCTATGAACCTTCTTTCTATTCAAAAAAAAAGCGATTTCCTACGGTATCGCGCGAAGCTCTCAAAAGAATGCTGAGTAATGAACAAAACTTCCGCCGCAGGTTAGAAACAAAGGTAACGAGTTTTTCTCATATCCCTGTGTTTTTGTGAAACTTTCGCAAGGGAAACTGTGGTCAGAAACAGCAGAACAAAAACATGTCGAAGCTCTTGTTGAGTGGTTCAAGCCTAGCCAGGTCTACAATACATTTCTTGAAGTGTAGTGTTGAAAAGGAAAATTGTTATAAACATAAAGCAACAATTGATCGAACATTTTCCAAGCTTTTGTCCAGCAGGTGTCACCGCTGAGATGCCTCCTTTTATTGTGAATTCACTCAGAATCACAAGGTGCATTTAACCTTGCGCATGTTTAACTACTCTATACTGGACTCTGAGAAAATGTTGCAACGACCTTCCTCACTAAACCCCTTGCCTACTAAGCGTCACTTTGCCAATCACTTGGATGACCTCCTGTAAGAGAAATACCTCGAAACCCAACATATTAATGCTGAAAAAAGCGCAACTGGTAGCGCAATTGCCATGGAAGCAAGAGATCAGGGTACGAATCCCGGCTAAAGCAAAGTTTTGCCCACAACTCAGTATTCTTGCGATATCTGAAAAAAGCATTCGCCGAGCTCATCGCTTACATATTTCAGGAGCTGTAAATAGACGGCTAATTTGGACCGTATTTTATGGGTGAAGTTGTGCAGATTGTAGCGATTTTTTTCCAACTGATCCGAACTTTCTGAACAACTTATACAATGGGTTGGAGCATAATATCGTAGCGTTTTTTCAAGCGTATAAATTCAACCAGTACAAGTATCATCCAAAAAACCGCTCATATTATTTGAAAGTACTCTTCCGCTCTACAAAACCGTTGTTGTCATTTTCTTCAACATTGTAGCTGTACTCAGGTATAGAGCTTAGAAGTTGGAAAATCCAGACGGCGAAAATCGGCGTTTCGACAGCTGCTATTCTTCGGTTTAAATAAAGAAGAAAAACGCCAAATTGGAAGTTTTTTGAACACATTGTTCTGAATCGAACCTTGCTCTACAGACCCTACTTTTCGCTCAAATCAAACTATATTCATGCATACAAATTGAGAATAATAAGGACTCCGAAAACGAGCTCAATATTTTTTTTGAAATTCTATATCCGGTGATCTCCTGCGAAATGCAATCAAAGTTGTAAATAATGACGAAGTGAACATCACTGATTAGTTTTATGTTTTTATTTTTTGCTTCAAATGTTTGTGTGAAGAAATGAAAAATGCAAGCGCTACGATATTATGCTCCAACCCAATAATATTATCAAGTAAAGGCGCCACCACTATCGCCCACTTAGTGAGTGCCGGTTCGCGCATTTCTAGGACTCCCCTATATGAGAGCAAAGATTCTTTTGTAAAACCTTCACAGAGCTACTGCGGCAGCTGAGCTCATTTCATATTGCGATTCGGTAACCATAGCGAAGATGTGTTGTCTGCGGATTCTACCACGTCCAAGGAACACTGAGATCACGCACTAATCAGTTAGAGGGTTTCAAACGAGCACGGGTGGGGATGGAGATTTCGAGGGCCTAGCTGAGCTCGAAAGATAGCTTGGTATACTAAATGATGCACAACTAACATCTGCTCACACCAAACACTGAAAATGAGGCCAACCAACCTGTGTCAGGACAGCCACGCTGGCTGCATTTGTGTCGAAATTCTTGATGAGATCCGCTCGATTGGGCTCTTGATTTGTGAAATACTTCACCCACATGCCAGCGTTATTCACGAGTACCGTGAGACCTTTATCGCCAACGATCTTTTCTACCTGTGAAGCAGTTTTAGCACATTTAAAGAACGGTTCTTGTGAATTAAAACGAATTCAACGAAGCCAACCTCTTTGTAAGCGCTCTTTATGGATTCGTCACAGGTCACATCAAGCTTGACGATGTTCAATCTACTGTCACTGATTTCCTTCAGCTCCTAAAATAGAAAGGTCATAGCAATTCCAGCGAACACGAGAGAAGATTAAGCGATACAAAACTCAGATTGCGTGCACCTTTGTGCCCCTTTACTGTCACCGACATTCAGCGGCAGGATTACCTTATT